CTAAGAAACACAAACAATAGTAGGGCGACATCAATGACAGTAATGGCAACCATCTTTCCACAAAGGAACACAAAGGACAGTCGGACAGGAGCGACGACAATGACGACAATGGCGAAGACAATGGTGACCACAAGCACAATTGCTACTACAGTGAGAGCCGTGGTGATGGAAGCGGACACATGAGGGTGCAGAATGGTGATCACAAGCACAATCGCTATGGCGAGAGCCGCGATGACGGAAGGCGGACACAAGAGGGTGCAGATCCTGTCGCTTTGCTGCAATGCACACCGCCGCCGCGCTCCGAGCTGCCTCACAATGACAACGCAACTGTCATTGTCAATGGCCATCATGCACACACGAGTTTCCGGGATGTTCTCACAGGCCTGTGTTGTATTCGGGGTAGGCCAGTTCAGACCGGTACCTCTGTCGGTACCAGCCAGTCCAGTCCAGTCCCGTCAGTCCGCTGGGGTATACCCCAGCCATTGTCTGTTTTCAGTCTCATTCTTCACTTGCACATTTTGGAGTACGTGCGTTGGAGTCTTGCGTGGGGAGCTGCGCTGTGCACCTTGCTCCCTCCTTCTTCCTCCATCTCCATCTCTGTCACTAGCGGAGCACCACACCTGGTGGGTCCGCTACATTGGTATCGGAGCGGGAACGGTCCCCGCCCCCACCCACCACACCGCACAGCAGGGAAATACGGCAAAACCCAACAGTCGGGTTTTTGGCTGTTTTCCGACCGTTTTCGGGCGAAAAAGCGGGAAAAACAACGAAGAAAGGTGCTACAGCAGGAGAGCTCCACATGGCGAAAAAGGAAGCCGCATCACGACGCGTGCGCGCCAGCGCCAAGGCCGCCGCACACGCGCACTCGCCCACGCTGCCCCGCCCCGCCCCGCTCTCGGATTTTATATTATATTATCAAGATCCGGGATGCAACTGCTGCCACTGGGGTTTGAACCCAAGCACCTGTCGAGCCATGCGCGTGCGTAAGTAGCCTCATAACACACTCACCACACTGTGTCCATGGCTTTATAGCACGGCACACTCGTGTTGAAGAGGTGCCGTGATGGCTATTTACCCCCCCCCCGGCAGCGAGCAGTGAGCAGCAGCGAAGTTGCTAGCTGTTGCTGCCTGTGCACGTGGCCATCTCCACGGCCACGTGGCAGCCTGTGGTGGGACTGAAGACCCCCCCTGCTTAGGGGGCTGCTCTACAGTGGAGAGGGCCTGCTCACACAGCAGACCCTACATCTGGACATCTGCAGAAGTGCTGCTGGGGGCTGATCAAGATCTCAGCCCCCCCTTCTCTCCTCCAACTGGCTGCTGCAACAAAGACCAAGACCCTCCTGGTCTTGGTGTACCTTGTGCCCTTGGAGACACCAAGGGCCAGGTATCACTCCCTTCTCCCCTCTCCCTCTACTAACCCACTCTCCTCTTACTCACCCCTTCTCTTTCCCCCACCTTCCACTTCATCTTTTCTCTCCTCCTTTTATCTTCCCCACCCCACCTTTCTCCCACCACCCATTCTTTTACTCTATTTTCTTCATCTCTTCTTTTCTTTCCTTTTTTCTCCTTCTTTCTTGATCCCTGTCCACCTTTCCCCATCCCTCCTCTCCCCCAACTACCACCACCCCATCCCCCTACCTCCCACTTCATCTTTTTCTCTCCCCCCACCTATTTCTTTCTTTTCTCCCTCACTTTTCATTCCCCTTCCCCCCTACTTCGAAAATTTTTCTGTTTTTCTTCTTTCCACCTCTCTTTTGATTTATCTTTTCTCTTTTCCAAAAATTCGAAATCTCTTCTTTCCCACCCTCTTTTCTGATTTTCTGATTCATTTCATTTATTTTTCTATTTATTCTGGAAATTCAATTTTCTCTACGGCAACCCTAAATCTGATTAGTTGTTAGTTTTCTCATCTTCTTCCCCACCCTCTTTTCTTATTTTTTTGGTTTATTTTATTTATTTTTATTTATTCTGAAAATCCGAATTTCTTGGCGGCAACCCTAAATCTAATTAGGTGTTAGCCTTTCTTGCTTTCGGCACACGTTTTGGCCCCGTGGGGGTAATGAAGTGCTGCCGAAATTTTTTGATTTTCTCTTAGTCTTTTCGGCACACTTCAACCCCATGGGGGTAACAAAATGCTGCCAAAATTTTTGAAAAATCAGATAACCCATTTCTCCCCACCTCCTCACACATTTATTTATTTATTTATTTATTATTTCTTTATTTATTTTCTGAAATTTCTTTTTATTATTTGCGGCATCTCTAGTGCGGTCACCTTGGTCTCTCCTTTTCCCTTGGCACATTCTTGACCCCGTGGAGGGTTGGGAAATGCTGCCGAAAATTTAAAAATAAATAAAGAAATAAATAAATAAATAAATATTATTTCCCCTTTTCATCCTTTTACTTATTTTTTAATTAATTTTATTATTTATTTATTTTCTTATTTATTTTTATTTTTTCTCGAAATCTCGCTGCTTATTTATTTTTCTCCCGCCTTTCCCCCCCCTATGCTTGCTCTTTTACTTTCTTGATTAGGTCACGGGTACCCTACCCTAACCACTTAAACCTCGGTTAGGGTTTTCCTTAGGGTTTTTGTAGGGTTTAGGGTTTCTCAAAACCCCCCTACTTCCCCGTCCTCTTCGGACACCCTGGACCCGAACAACCCCTCCCCCTTTGGCGGCGCCCGTGCTAGCCTTGCTAGCGCCGTTCGCCGCTTTCTACCRCGGACTTCCCCCTACGCCCTCCGCTCACGCGGACCTCTTCTGGCCCCCTCCAGTCTGGTCCGTCATCTCCCCATGGCCGACGATGCGTCACACGCCACCGACACGGCGATGACCACGGCATCGGGCTCCACACCCGTGCCAGCGGACCAGGGCCATCAGCCCCAGGGGGATCTACACACCCTCCTCACCTCCCTCCTTGCGCCCATCCACGCGCAACTCGCGACCCTTGCGCCCATCTAGGCGCAACTCACGGCCCTCGCGTCCTTACAGGCGCAGGTGGCGACCCTTGCCGCCGGCATGCAGCAACTCCAGGACGCTGCATGTCCGTCATCTCCTGGCTCTCAGTCCGGGTCCCTCGTCCTCCGATAGGGTGGCCACGGCGGAGCTTCCTCCTCCGTTGCCCCTGACCCGGCCATCTTGGTGACTGTCCACGCCCCTAGCACGACGGCCGCCACGAGCCAGGCCCCCCCTCAGTCTACGGGCGCACCCGCCCAGATCCCGGTCGCTACGGCCACGGTACAACAACCCGCTACCATGGTCTCAGCTTTTCCATGTGCCCCGCTTCTCCCTCCCCTTCGCACGACCGCAGCGCCACCTGGCTATCCCCCCTTTGGGATGCCCCGCGCCGCTTGTGCGTCCACCCCCTCCACTCTTCCTCCCGCCATCCCTCGATCGACCTACGTTCGAGGTCTCGCGGACGAGATTGCCCTGCTCCGGGCCGACCTCGCCCTCTTACGACTTCAGCCACCCCCACCCGCACAGGTGGCCGCGCCTTCGGGCGCACCCCCTACCTCCTCTACCCTTCCTCCCATGCAGGCTCGCTTTCCGCGCCCTGCACCCGATACAACTCCTTCCTACCTTCTTCCTACTCCCGCGGTTGCTGCGACCTCTTCTACCGTAGCACCCTCGCAACCTAGCGTTGTTGCCACCGCCGCTCCCACATGCGGCCCGGGCGCACAGTCAGCTGCGCCCCTTTCTCCAAGACCTGCGCCGACTTACTCAGTCGTGGCACAGGCCTCCGCTCCTCGATCCCCTCGCCGCCAAAACGGTGGCGCACCACTCATCCGCTTGTTGGACATTGCCTTGTATGACGGTACAGGCATACGCGAGTCTCGGTGGCTGCAGTCTGCCACCCGCACACTCCAGTTCATGGGCGCCACACCCGAGACGTGGGTGGGTCACCTCTCCACGCGCCTGCGTGGCGGTCCTTTCGAGGCTTGGGAGGATTTATATGCCTACTCCCTTCGTGAGGGTCGGACTCCGACCTTCGTGGATTTCCAGGCGTTCCTCGAGGATCGGTTCGGAGCCCGATACGACGTGACTGACGCCTTCGAGCGTGTCGTCACTACACGCTGGTCCAGCTCTGGTGGCGCTACCGACCTGGATCGCCACATCTAGGTCTTTCAGGACGCCCGCCTCGTTTGCGACGTGGCGGGCCTCCCCGAGGCTGCCCTTATTGATCGTTTCTTGGCCAGCCTTCCGCTCGAGTACCGCTCCGAGCTATGGCGGTACGAGTTYACATCGGCCCCACAGGCTTACGAGGCCGCCAGGGACCACCAGCGGATGCGAGCCCGTCTTCACCCCGCCTCCTCCTCCCAGCCCCAGCGCACGGGCTACGCCTCCTCCTCCTCTCACGGCACTTCCCAGCGCCGTTCCCCTTTCCGCGGTCGCCCCCGCCGTTCCACGCAGCAGGGCCGCCACTTCTCGCGCCGCTTCAGCGCGCTGGAGTATGGTGAGCAGGACGCTGTTGCCCCACTGTCACCTGAGGGTGACCACAGCGACGACCTCGATCTCTGCGAGGCCGTCCACTATCACTTGGAGAACTCGACCTTCCCTGCAGTTGAGCGCCTTCAGCTCGCGCTCTCCGCCCTCTCTCGGGCACGCAGCCGCCCCGGTCACGCTGGCGCGTCGCCTCCCGAGGTCCCTCAGAAGGACCTCCCTCAGGGCTTCGTCCCTCCTCGCGGTGTCCTTTCCGCTGAGGAGCGCGCGGCTATTCTGGGCCGACGGGGGTGTTTACGCTGCCGCTTGGACGGTCATACCTCCTCACGGTTCCCTTACACTACCGCCCTCGACCGCCACTACGTTGATCTTTCTCGTCAGCGTCGTGCTCAGTCCCCCCACGGCGCCTCACGTCCCCGCGGCGCCTCCTTGCCACGGTGCAGTGTACACCTGCGCCCTCCTCAGTAGTGGGCTTCCCGACATCTCTGTCGCAGTTCGCCCCTCTCACTACTGGAGTTGAGGTATCGCAGGACTCGACAGAGTGTACTCAGCCCTCTGTCGCAGTACCGTCTGCGCCTCCGCAGACCACCGTCTCCCCTCCTTCCCCGCCGCGACTACCGATGCGTCGAGCCATTCGCTCAGCCCGTTGCAGCGAGCAGCTTGCTACTCGCGAGGACGTTGTGTCCTCTCTTCTGGACTTGAGCATGCTCCAGGCTCGTCAGGAGCGACTCACCCTCAATGTCGCTGCACTGAGTCGCCTTCTCGCCATCCTCTCTGACCCTGACCGCACCCTCCCGATCATCCCAGTACGACTCGGGACCTCCACAAGGGTGTACTCAGCGCTGTGGGATTCCGGTTCTCAGGGCGACTTCATTCACCCATGCGTGGTGAAGGAAGCTCGCTCACCCACGACAGGGTCTCCGACTCCCATCTCTGTTACCCTAGGGGATGACAAGACCCAGCGCTTCTTCGATCAGACGGTCACCGACCTCCCCTTCTTCCTCACTCTCGAGCCAACTGATCGTTCCCCGGCGTCTCGTCGCCACCGCTCCTCTGCACATTTCGATGTGATGGAGACGGGGTACGACTTCATTCTCGGCACTCCGTGGTCTCGTAGGTTCCGCAGCACCGAGGCCGATTGGGCGACCAACACTCTCGTTCTCAAAACGAATTGTGGACAGACGTATCGCGTACCTTTCATAGGTACCACGGCGATACCACGCCCCGATCCTACTCCCTCGGAGCCGTTAGTGCCCACACCATCCCCCTCTATCACAATCACCTCGCCTCGGCAGTTCGATCACTTCATTCGACAAGACGACGTCACCTTCTTTATGGTGGACGTGACGGATCTCTTACACTATGATCCACCCTGTCCCGACGCCGAGCTCATCCCCCTAGAGCCAGATCCTCCCTCTATCTCCATGGCTCCAATCTCTACTTCCGTCCCTCCACCGTCCGCCGAGTCCACCCCACCGTCGGGCGCTGACGCTGACGCTGAGGAACTCGCACGATATACGGCTGACCTGGAGCCCGCAGTCCGTGACCTCATCCGAGAGTACCACGACGTTTTCCCATCGTCGTCCTCGTACGCCGACATCCCACCGATGCGTGACGTCGAGCACTCCATTCAGCTTGTGCCTGACTATCGTGTTCACCACCAGGCACCCTACAGACTCTCAATTCCCGAGGCCACCGAACTCAAGCGTCAGCTTGAGGAGCTCCTGAGACTGGGTTTCATTAAACCCAGCAACTCCCCGTGGGGTGCACTCGTCCTCTTTGCTCGCAAAGCGGATGGAACTCTCCGTCTCTGCATCGACTATCGCGGTCTCAACCGCTATACGGTTAAGAACAGCTACCCCATGCCTCATTCCTATGAGCTGTTTGACCGCCTAGCAGGCAACCGCTTCTTTACGAAGATTGATCTTCGTAGCGGTTAYCATCAGATCCGCGTCGCTGCAGCCGACCAGCCGAAGACAGCGTTCCGATCGCGCTTCGACCACTACGAGTTTACGGTGATGCCATTCGGCCTCACCAATGCACCCGCCACCTTCCAGAGGGCGATGACCGACATCTTCAGGGACATCTTGGAGCAGTACGCTCTCGTCTACCTCGACAATATCCTAGTTTACAGTCGTACCCTTGAGGAGCACCTCAGACACCTCTGTGACGTCCTTGACCGCTTGCGCAGACATGGCTTTTACGCCAAGCTGAGCAAGTGCCGCTTTGCCCAGCAGAAAGTGGATTTCTTAGGACACTACGTGTCTGACCAGGGTCTCCACATGGACGACGCGAAGATCACTGCTATTGCGGAGTGGCCCGCCCCCACATTCGCCAAGCAGCTTCGCAGCTTCCTAGGCCTGACCAGCTACTATAGTAACTTCATCCGGGGATACGCTAGCTATTCCTATGTCCTTACCTCCACCCTCCTCCGGAAGAACCCACCCTGGGCTTGGACACCCCTCCACGAGGACGCCTTCCGCGCCCTCAAGAAGGCGGTGACATGCGCACCGGTTCTTCACCTACCCGATTTTGACCGCCCTTTTATCCTTACCACCGATGCGTCAGACTTCGCTGTAGGAGCAGTGCTTTCTCAGGTCTTCTTTTCCTCTCCTGATTCCTCTCATCCTCGTATCCCTCGCTTCCCACCACCTACCCCTACCACTGCTTCCCGACTGATGCCTACTCGTCCAGCTACTGACGAGCCTTCTATTGATTATTCTCCTACCATCGCCGAGGACGGCACTGTCGAGTCTCGCTCCGGTGATTGTCCGATAGCCTTCTACTCCCGTCAGCTCCTGCCCGCCGAGATAAACTACACCGCTGATGAACGTGAGGTTCTCGCAG